AAAAAAAAAAACTTTCACCCAAATCATGATTATTTAAAAAGAAAAAAAGCTACAGCTCCTTAACATACACAAAGGTGATTATGCAGAAGAGGGCCAAGGCAATCACAAGAAGTCCACCTTTCAGGGAGCAAAGGACCAAACCTCACAGCTGCAGCCTAAGATGACAAAGGGGTGAATCCCAGTGAGTACACAGGCAAAGCCCCAGCGAGAAGGAGCACAAAGCCCCAGAAATGAAATCACCTTGGTGCAAGGGAGTGTGGGCTCAACGAGGCCAGGGTGGCTGGAGGAGAGGGAGAGCATGCTTTGGGCACGATGGCTGAAAAGGTGGCTGTGACCTAAAGAGCTGACCCCTGGAGTCCATCGTGAGAGGAGGCTCATCCTCCCTCACAGAGCGGCTGGGGCTGTGCCTGTTGAACTGGGCAGGACCAGGCTTCACCTGTGACACCATGTGGCAGAAACAAGCAATGGCAGGAGGGACTGATCAGACTCCAAGTCCTACTCTGCTCAGCCTTGCAAAGAGGACTGAACCCCATGACCCAAGTACAATATGGAGGCTTCAGAAAATCTAGAGGATTCAGACTTGCTACCAAGTGGGCAGGTGAAGTTTGAGGGATTCATTGAAGTAATAAAGGGGATACTGCTGTATTTGAGCCCTGAGTTTGTGGAGAGGGCCAGCGTGGACACAGAGAGAAAGGGCCCAGGTGAACTCCTGACCCCTGCCAGGTTCAGCACCCAGGCTGGGTGGGTGGCAGGTTTAGGACCTGGGTAAGGCAAGCAAGGCACCTAGATTACAAGATGCAAGGAGGCACTTGCTTTGAAGATTGTACAAGGGCAGGCTGTACTTTAGAGTGAGGGCCTCCTTAAATTTAGCATCCCTGGTACTGCCCTAGTGCATGGTACACGGGTGAACAGGCAGAAGGTCAGAAATGCTGGGTTCTGACTCTGGCTGAGTGCTCTTGACCTGTCAACTAAGCCTGCTGAGACAACACCAGAGGAGGTCCCTAACAAACACTAAAATTGATACACAATTACACATCCGTATAATAACTTCAAGTTCCTTTTTAAATAATTATCTATGTAAATTTTTTTTTTTTTTACTTTTTATTGTTTGCGGTTTCCATTCAACAATGCATATACATTTTGTTTCATGACATTGATTGTATTCCCCACAATGTAACTGCATTCTTCCCATCCCCTCCCTATTTTCACCATTTCCATTGGCCCTTAGTTAACATGGGAGCTCTGGTGGCACAGTGCCTAAGGCATTTGACTGCTAACCAGAAGGCTGGCGGTTCAAACCCACCAGCCACTTCCCAGAGGGAAGGTTGGGCAATCTACTTCTGTAGCAATATTGCCTCAGAAACCCAAGGAGGGGTCGCT